ATTGTATGAAAACTAAATATACTTAGAAACAGAGCAAGGTTCTGCTGCTGCTTCCCTCCTGCGCAAACGCCTACAGGCTACAGTGCTACGGTCCTCTTTTTTAACTTTAGAAACTCCAAGGCAACTAAATACTAAGCAACCGGGGAACCAATGAGAAAGAGAGCGCAGTGGTCCTTTCCCTTAAAAAAATAAAACTTCAGCATGAACAGCTGTATAGCCTGGGTGGAACCAGTGCAAGCCAAGAATAGAGGGGAGGAACTCTGGGTTATTGTTTTTTTTTCCCCTTAAGCGCTTGAAATAAGCCGGTGTAAAAAAATGGACATGGCGTCGTGTGTGATTGCTGTCAGTGGCTGTGGTCGGTCTTAATCAGGTTACTCCTGTTGGAAACCCTTCGCAGCGTTAGGTCGTGTGTTTCCTCTTTTAGACCGCGTCGGCATTCAGCACAGAATTCATTTAAGTTGTTTAGAAACGGGCACCAAAGGCAGTTTAGACTCCGCAACTTTGGTTTCAACCGTTTTACCTTGATCCGTTCAGAGTTCAACATACCCCCTCGTTTAAAATAATTTGGGTTGAATCCTGAGGTGCAGGCGGGGCTGTGGCACAGGGGTGGAGCTGACCGCGCTCCGGTCACCTCGGGCAGGTGCGAGGCAGCTCTTGCGCGGCGACAAAGGAGGAGCCGGGGGAGCTGGGGTACAAAGGCTCGACCCGACTCTTCTGTCGTGGCCATCTGCACGCTCGGCCGTGGTCGTAGGGCTCGTGGCTCGGTGGCTCGTTGTCTGGAGCTCTTGCCAAGCGGCCTGGAGCTCAGCCGTGGCGAGGGATGTGTGTACGTACAGGAAAATGTGTCTTTGGCTCGGGGGTATCGAGCTGTTGTGCAAGCAGGGGCATGCGAGAGGGGTTCAGGGCAGGCAAGATCAGGCGGTATTTTAGCTGTGCTGAGCAACAGACCAATCCCGCAGCCTCGGAGGGGAAGACTGAGCTCTGTTGCTGTTTTTTGTGACCGTAGAGCTGGAAGAGTCCCAAAGGAAGTGTCCCCCTTGCTGGTACAAATTTGCCAACACGTTCTTGATCTGGGAATGCCACCCGTACTGGATCAAGCTGAAGGAGATTGTGAACTTAATTGTCATGGATCCTTTTGTTGACTTGGCCATCACCATCTGTATTGTGCTGAACACTTTGTTCATGGCGATGGAGCACCATCCTATGACCCCAGAGTTTGAGCACGTGCTCTCCGTAGGAAATCTGGTAAGACAGTGCTGGGGAATATTCCTTACGGATCTGTTCCTGCTGGGATGCGTTGCTGGTTAAGGCAGACGCAGACTGAAAGAGCTGCTGTTCCAGACCCCGAGGACGCTGAGCCTTCACCGCAGCCCAGAGACCTTTGCTAAGGGCGCGCGTCTCTGGGCAGGATTTGTTCAAAATCCATCTGTTAATTCCTGGGGTGCCCGAGGGGGTCAGGGATACTTGTGCTGCGCTGGGGGAGGGAAAAAACCCCTGGAGCCGAGCGCGTGGCACGGCCCGGGCCGCGTGTTGGAGTTGGCGTGACAAAACCGGCGTTGTTTGGTATTGAGCCTGAAAACCGGAAAGTGAGTGAAAGCGAATCTTTGCCTGTTCTTTGTCTGTCTGTCTCTCCTCACCACTCCAGGTTTTCACTGGAATTTTCACCGCAGAAATGTTCCTGAAGCTCATTGCCATGGATCCCTACTATTATTTCCAAGAAGGCTGGAACATCTTTGATGGATTTATTGTCTCCCTCAGTTTGATGGAACTGAGTCTGGCAGATGTGGAAGGACTTTCTGTGCTGCGATCTTTCCGATTGGTATTCCATATTCCAGTTCTTTCTGAAAGTTACTAGCTTGGAGCTACTAGAAAGCTTTTTACATAAGAGTAGGCAAACCCCACTTTTTTCTGGTTTTGGGGAGGACAGAGGTGGAGTAGTGTAATTTTTATGGTCTCTTCTTGCTTCACAACTGCTCTTTCTGAGATCTGAGCAGCAGCTCATTGCGTTTAGGCAGTGAAGGATGACTTGGGAGGTATCTTGGTGCGGAGTACTTCATGTGGGTGGAGATGGACCACGTTAGAATGTGCCTCTTATTTCAGATGGTCAGATTTGGTAGGTTGCATGTTACAGTATAATCAATGTGCTGAATATCTGCAGCCTTCACGTGCTTTAACTTGTGCTGTCAGTGGTTAAGGTTTTGCAAATTAAATCATGAAAACGTCGAGGTTAGATTTTTTGGGCATAGAGAACCAGAACTGAGGTCGGATTTTCCAAGGAGCACAACGCACAGAAGCTCCTGCTTCTATCCAGCTTCAGAAAGTCTGTCTCCAAATGAGATTCGCTGGAAATTAAACTTTGATTGTGTGTTCTGGGTATGCCAGGAAAACGAGTCCTTTTTTCCAGGGGAAGATGAGAAACATTCAGGAAAGAAAAAAGTAATTTTTTTGTGACACACACCCTTCAGATAAGTCGCCTAACTTCCTTAATGCTGCAAAGTCTGCAAAGCAAGGTGGAAGCTCCATCCTTTTCCTTCGTAAAGGGAGATCACCATGTGGGGGATAACTAAGCACAACATACAGGAGGCCAAATGCGAGGGGAAGTTAAGCATTCCCTGCTCCCGCTGACTTCAGCAGGAGAAGCATGGGCTTGTGTTTACGTAGAATACAAGATGGTTGCTGCTTAGAAAGTTCTGCCTGATTTTCCTCTTTGTTTAAGATGAAATTAAATGAAGTGTCATTTGTCTGGTTTGTTTGGCTTTTCTTTTGTAGCTGAGAGTCTTCAAACTGGCCAAGTCCTGGCCCACTCTGAACATGCTGATAAAAATCATCGGTAACTCAGTGGGCGCTTTGGGGAACTTGACCTTGGTGCTGGCCATCATCGTGTTCATCTTTGCTGTGGTGGGCATGCAGCTCTTCGGCAAAAGCTACAAGGAGTGTGTCTGCAAGATCAATCCGGAGTGTGAGCTACCCCGCTGGCACATGCACGATTTCTTCCACTCCTTCCTTATTGTCTTCCGTGTGTTGTGTGGGGAATGGATTGAGACCATGTGGGATTGTATGGAAGTGGCAGGACAGGCCATGTGCTTGATTGTCTTCATGATGGTCATGGTCATCGGAAATTTAGTGGTCAGTAAATGGTTACTGATGGTCTTTGTTGGTTGCCTCTGGGTGGGGTAGAACATGGGGACACCGCAGGAGGAGGGAGTGATGGTTCAGGAGTCTGTTCCAGCTCTGCTGGGGTCCTTCGTGGCCTTTGGCATATGAACAGTCCCGTTGGCTTTGGTAGCACGATATTAAGGATGTGCTTTGCTTGATGAGGGCCTTAAACAGTTGCCCACGAGTAAAGCACCCGAGCACTTTGCAGTAAAAGCTGGAGGTACAAACCCTCGGTCAAAGGGGACAGACCCACGCCTTGCCCAAGGGGGAAAAAAAGCTTAAAAGAAGCAAAACCTGGGGTTTCAAATGCCGGGAGAGGAAACAATGTGGTACGCAGGGGAAGGTCCTGAAGTGTTAAAATCAGGTTGGAAGTGTCTTCTAAAATCTGCCCACTACCTCAATCATGAGGTATGGTTGTGTGCGAGAATGGGCTGGTGAAATTGCGCGGCCTGTTGTGTGGGAGGTTAGATGGATCATGATGTTTCCTTCTGGTCCTAAATTGTATGAAGAAAAGTCTATGGAGGAAAATGTAAGCAAGAATGAAGTAGTACGAACAGTTGCCTGTCTTCAAAGTGGTGTTGTGAGCTCTCTCTGAGACGACTTGTCTTGCCAAGGGATTTTGTCTTGGGGACTATCACTAGGTGTGGGCAAGGGAATAGAGCTGGGAGTGATCACTCAAAATGCAAGATTTGGCCCATTTCCTTTGAGCCAGAGGTGGGAACTGAACGAGTAACGCTGAATTTAAGTCCCTTGGCTGGCTGCTGCTGGAATCCCTCTCTAACATCTGCAGTCTGGATCCGGCACGGGGCTTTGCAGGAGGGACCCTTGTACCTGCACCGAACCCCTGCGGCCCCAGCGGAGCTGTGTGCTGCACAGGGCTCCCCCACCCATGGAGCGCACGGCAGGATCTTGTTCCTTGAGTCCTGGGTGCCTCAATGGGTCGGTGGGACGCCAGAGCTGGTTCTCGGCGTGGTGTTTGTTAGGAGGCAGCTCTGCAGCCCCCCTTAACATCAGCAGGGCTTGGGAGGCTGAATGCTCCTGTTCAGCCTGGGAAACGGAACCGGCGTGTGTCAGCTCTGCCAAGCGCGACCTCTTGTCTTTCAGGTGCTGAACCTGTTCTTAGCCTTGCTGCTGAGCTCCTTCAGCGCAGACAACTTGGCAGCGACAGATGACGACGGGGAGATGAACAACCTGCAGATTTCTGTTATTCGCATCAAGAAGGGCATTGCCTGGATCAAGGCAAAAGTGCGCGAGTTCATGCAGGCTCACTTCAAGCAGAGAGAGGCCGATGAGGTGAAACCCTTGGATGAATTGTACGACAAGAAGGTGAACTGCATCGCTAACCATACAGGGGCTGATATCAACAGGGACATTGATTACCAGAAGAACGGCAATGGCACGACGAGCGGAATTGGGAGCAGCGTGGAGAAGTACATAATAGATGAGGATCACATGTCCTTCATCAATAACCCCAATCTCACTGTCCGGGTGCCTATTGCTGTAGGTGAATCAGATTTTGAAAATCTCAACACAGAAGATTTCAGCAGTGACACAGATCCTGATGGCAGCAAAGAGGTAGGATGAAATGCTAAAAATTCATTCTAGTCGTTTGACCCTCGTGTGAGTGCTCGGAAGCATCTTGGGAGGGAGAAGTAGGTACTTCCAGCACAAAACTGCTCCATCTCTGGCAGTGTTCAAGGCTAGGTTGGATGGAGCCTTGAGCAACCTGGTCTAGTGGGAGGTGTCCCTGCCATGGCAGGGGGGTTGGAACTAGATGAGCTTTGAGGTCCCTTCCAACCCAAACCATTCCAGGATTCTATGAAAACTTCTGTTTGTATTACGACGTTGTCTTTGCACTCAAGACAGAAGTTTCTTGTGCTAGTTGCTCTATGGAGAGCCACAAATACTTGTAAATCTAGATAATAGAAATACTTAATACCGTCTGTCCTGTTAGCATGAGATATGAGCTGGGTCAGGATCTTCATGAGGTGAAGCGAGGAAACAACTTCCGTTACAGTAAATCTGGTGAACAAATTGCTGAGTCATCATGAAGTTTGGTATTTGTTAGGAACTAATTATAGATTGGATTGGGTTTCATTTTGTGTTCAAGAAACTTGATGATACCAGCTCCTCTGAAGGTAGCACCATTGATATAAAGCCCGAAGTGGAAGAAGTCCCTGTGGAGGCACCGGAGGAGTATCTGGACCCAGATGCATGCTTCACAGAAGGTAAGCTGACTATGAGCGTAGAAAGGAGCCTCTGGGCTGTTTCAGGGCCCTGTGTACCATAAGCTTACCTTAAGGTTAGGTCTCAGTCTGGATCAGAGCTGCCTGACGGCTTATCTTGAGACCCCTCTTGGACCCTGCATCACGGGTGAACTGGTTTAGAAGAATTTGCAAAGCGAAGGCCTTGGAGAGGTGTAGTTGCCTTTGCAAGGATGGAGATGACCTGTAGGTAGGGCAAGTTGATCTTTTGTACGACTGATGCCTTGAGTACTTAGAAGCAGAAGAATCTGGCTTCTGGTCAGGTTTTTTTTTTCCCCCCTTGTGTCGCTGGCCTCGATGTCTTGCGGCAACTGATCCATTACAGGTATTCCCATGGCAAAGATATTTTAAATGGTTCAAGGTTATTCTATCAGCAAGTTTTCCATTCCTCTTCTGTCAAGTGCATGGATATCTCACCAAATATAATGAGCTTAATCTCTTCACAAATTAATGTTAATTCAGGTGCTCAGATACAGAAGTAGCAAAAGTAATCATAAAATCCTCAAGAACACCAGAGTTTTAACTGAAGCTCGGCGTGTTTAGTATTGTTGGCATCAAAGCTGCTTCTAGACAGTGACAATTCTGTGTTCTCGTGTTAAATCATCTGTTCCTAACAACATTTGGGCTCACACGGCTTCGTGCACTGTCCCCATTCCAGGTTGTGTGCAGCGCTGTAAGTGTTGTCAGGTCAATATCGAGGAAGGGCTGGGGAAGTCTTGGTGGACCTTGAGGAAGACTTGTTTTCTGATTGTGGAACATAATTGGTTTGAGACTTTCATCATCTTTATGATCCTACTGAGCAGTGGTGCTCTGGTGAGTAAAATACAGGAGTGGTGTTAAGGTAGGGGACATCTAACTGGGAAAGCTGTATATAGGAAATTGGGTGGAAAAGCGAGCTATGGTGATTCTTACCTGGAAAACAGCACAGCGCCGTTGGGGTAGGTACTGTACAGAAGCCTGTATTCGTGATTTTTGTTTAGTTTAAATTAAGAATGAAGACTGAAAGCCTGCAAATCCGGGTTCTGATCATAGCTTGACTAGAAATGTGAGGCTTTTGGACAAAGTCAGCCTGTCCCTATGTCTCATTTTCACATTACTGAACCAGAATATTTATATTTCCCTTTCTTCACTTTTCCATGTTTGCAGAACTTCTTGACCTCATGGTGTTACACAGATACAAATAACCACTGTGTGTGTTTGTTTTCACACAGTAGCTCTTTAGTAGGTAGGATTCTGCAACAAACAACATCAAGAGTTTTAGGACAGCAGTCCACCACACTTGGTATCTCACAGCAGTAGCCTGGCTTTCTCTGCGTGCACAGGTTTCGCAGTAATTAACAGTCTGATTGCCGGTGAACTCGGCCCTTTTGGGTGTGCCGAGTGCTGAGCTGCAGAGAAAACCTGCCTCTGTGTTACTGTACTGGTACCTGTCGCTGAGCACTGAGATAGAAAGGCTTGTGCTCGGTTCCCTAAAAGGCAGAGAAGTTCTTGTGTTATTTATTCAGGACTTGGCTTTTTCTTGGTTTGGTTTTTGGTTTGGTTTGGCATTGCAGTGCTGCAGCTACTCGAGCAGATAAGGTGTGCTGCATAGGAAATGTAACTGCACTGTTCATCTTGGTATTGTTTGAATAAGCTTCTGGATAACGACGTTGAACTGTGGAATAAATCCGATGTAATGACACAAGTACCTGGTTATTTCCCAGGCTTTTGAGGATATTTACATAGAACAGAGAAAAACCATCCGGACCATCCTGGAGTACGCGGACAAGGTCTTCACTTACATTTTCATCCTGGAGATGCTGCTGAAATGGTGTGCTTACGGATTCGTCAAGTTCTTCACCAACGCCTGGTGCTGGCTGGATTTCCTCATTGTGGCTGTATGTATCCTCTCCTCCTTATTTCTGGTTGGGAAAAAAAATGTTAGTTAGAAGAAAACTGGGGTGATGTTTTGTCCGAACTGAGTCACTGTTTCATGAGGATTCAATCCCAGATATCTCTAAGTTTCCAAAACAAGGATAAAACCCTTGAGCCCTTTGAGTGTTGCCGGTGTTGCCTTTGCAACCGGGGACTTGCCGCCCGGCGGGTCCTAATGAGCCGGCAGAGACAACGGAGGGTTTTCCAGCCCTTGGCTCTTTTTCTCCACTGGAATTACTGTTTGTAAGAGGCCTGCCCCCGTGTGGAGCTACTGGGAGGTGTTAACAGTAGGAGAACTTGTGCGGACGTGGGATTCCCTGGTGACACCCTCTTTCTGCAACCATTCGCTTGCGTTATTAACGACGGGGGGATGATGAGGCAGGCAGAATCTTCCCATCCTACCACCTAACGAGGTCTGTCGTTCTGAACATTGGGCACATGCATTTGTGAAAGTCCCAGTAGTTTGAAAGCTTATTATGCAAAATGAAGTTCAACATCATCCTTCTTCTGTGAAAAAGATCTAATGCCCAGGAGAGAAAATGCAGGACAACAAGGGCAGCTCGCTGAGACAAGATGGTAGCACGAACAAGGGAAATGGCCGGTCTGGACAGATCAGCACATGATCGCCCTGGAATTCCCCTCCAGAACATCTTGGTAGAGAGAAAAATTTGAGAATTCAAAGACAGACAGTAGAGAGAAGTGTTAGTAATAAATTTGGCTCTGAAGCACAGCAAGTGCATTTAACAGAAATGGCATTTATGCTGTCAAAAGTGGCAGAAAATTACGAAATCCAATAGGACTTGAAGACCAAAGAATTGCAAAAATGAATCCCAAGTGCTTGGATTCTTTTGAAACGTTTCATCACATCCAGTTGTGGATCGATGTCCTTAGTCAATGCCCCAAGAGCAAATATAAAAACAAAAAAGAAAAATTAAAAAATTTTTCAAGCTTCTCATTTGGAGCATTTTGAATATGATTCAGTGATGCCAAGTCGCTGTTCAGTGACATTATCACTCTGGAAATATTTCTGAGTAGGTGGAGGAACTATGCTCGGAATTCAGGGGCAGAAGTGACTCAAGATGTCTACGTTTCCTGCGGAAAAATGAATTTTGTAATTTTTTTTTTTTTTTAAAGAAAGTCTTCTCCGATCCCCTTAACACCTTTCCTTTTAACACACATCTTGAAGTAGTAACTCTTCTTTTCTGAAAATAACTCTGTATCTCTTTCACTGCCTCAAGATGAAGTACAAGTGCTAACATGGGAACTCGTGCGAGTTACTGTCTGTTCTTCTGTACTGCTTTGAGGGAAGTGTTTCAGCACAGGAAATTCTTTGGGGTATTGAATTAAAAAGATGACCAGCAACCGAGCACAAAAATAGCCTTCACAGTCCTTATGCTTCATGTTGTGAGTTGAATTCCAGCTGTTGGGAACGAGGTGCAGTTTAATTGACAGATGTGCTACAAGTTTCATTTTCTTCCCCAGTACTTGGCCGCTGGCGGAGGAAAGATAAGGAACTTCCCAGTCAGGTCACACGTTCACAGGGAGTGAACAAGTGCATACGTACGAGGATCCTGAATTCCCAGTGCTTTAGGAGAAATTTCTTTTTTTGCTTGGTGTCGTGGACAGGAGAGTTGCACATTTTTGTCTGCAAAAGATCTGAAATGTGAATTTGAGATGCCAAAACATTACTCGACAAAATCTCAGCTCTGCATCGTGTCCTGTATCTGTTAAATCACATTTTTTTAAACAAGATTTTCTCATGTGACATAGATGGGGTTCAAGTGAAGTCAGGGTGGCGGCCGTAACTGATAGAGAATGAGCCTTTGCATCATAACAACGCTCTTGAATGTTATTTTTCAGGTTTGATAGCATTGTCAAATAACCCTCCTCCTCTGATTCCCAAAGCTTGCTGGGTGTATTTGTGAAGACAAGGTCTTTTTCTGGGTAATAATGAAGGCTTCTGCTTTTCAGTCAATCTGCAATTCCTTTTGTCTGACATCGGTGCCTGCTGTGTCTTCTGCCGGAGTGTCCCGAGAGAATAATACTGAAAAGACCCCATGAAAGCTCAAACAGCCTTTAGTGGGTTAACTGCCATTGTGTTCGTTTCCTACTCGGGAGCGAGGCATTATCCCAAGGGAAGAAGCTCTAAAAGTGAGGATTCAGTGAAGCCTGTACCCCATATTATATTTGCGGGGTAAACCGCTGTGTTTCGCTGTCTATGGACCTTCTAGCCCGTACCTCCAAACCCCATCTGTACTTGGAAATTTGGGACCAGGACTTTAAAGCGCCGGTGTCGCTGTGGGCTTGGTCCCGTCCTGAGTAGGCGGATCACAAAGGCTTTGTTGTAAACCTTTGGGACACCCCTGGCATGTTCTTAGTCAGTGTCATTTTAAAAGCAGAAAACCACGTGGAAAAACCAGAGAGCCATGTTGCCGTATGTTGCGGCCACTCATTTTGGGGCAGTATGAAGACAGAAAAGGTGTGAAGCACATGCACAAACAGTAAAATAAGATGAAATCTCTAAGTTATTTTCCTGCATGTTCATGCATTTGAAATTTGGTCCTGAAATTTCCCTGGAATATGTGTGGAATAAGAATCGTCCTTATAATTAATTTCACATTATTATCTTAATATCCCGTTTTTTTTTTTTTAAAAAGAAAAAAGATAAATAGGAAGTGTCCTGTTCTGAGAATTAAGCAAAAAAACCCCACTTGTTATAGGAGGAGGTCTCATGTTTTTCCATTATTTGTTACTGTACATTGATGTCTTTATTCTCTTTTTCCCTTAAAAAAGGTTGATATATCTGTTCTTATCTGTGTCTGTAATGTCATACTAGCCAAAAATGGAAGATAGTGGGATGCTGGTGAAACGGTGTCTGTAGATACTCTTTACGTACGGCCAAGCCATGTCTGATCTAATCTAAAGAGTTTTCCGTTGGTTTGCGTGGGAGGCGGACTGCTGCCCTGAACACTCGTGCCAGGTCAAAGAGTCCATGGCCCCGCGTGCTCAGGCTTTTGGTAATACAGGGCTTAATCCTGCGGGACCCTGAGCTGCCCTCAGCACCGGGTGGTTTGGGATACCCAGTAATTCACGGGCGTAGAGCCTAGATCTGATTCCAGGCTGCCAAAGAAAGCAGGTTGTCGTCGTGGTTGTGGTGTTGAAAAAGGGATGTCGGCAAGCTGTCCCCGGCCGGGTCGCGGTGTCGGCGCGTGAGCCCCATCCCCGCCGCTGTACGCCTCGGCTTGCCCGTCTGTAAGACAGGCTTTGCCCATCCTCCTCCTCCCTCAGAGACGCTCACCAACGGCACCGCAGCTTCAAGGGGGCGAGGAAAGCGCGCGCCAGTTGCTCTGTGTTACGAGCAGAACGAGCTCCCCCGTCCTTGGGTTTTCAGGCTGTCGAAGCTGGGATCGGCCGCCTCGGCGCCGCGCGTGGCGGGCTCAGCGGTCACGGTTTTCAGAATTACCTTGGCAGAAGCCAGCTCGGGCCCACGTCCCGTCCCCGAAGGCCACGGCCACGGCTGAAGCCCCGCCACGCAGCGCGAGCACGGTGGCTTGCTGTACGAGTTGAGCGCAGTTGGTGCAGTGTGTGTATTTATCTGTATTCTTTCTCATAGGTACCTTTAAAATTTGTCTGGCTTAAATTTAATGGGAGCCGCTGGGATCCTGCAGACAGTAAAGGGCGAGGGTAAGGTTTTTGTCATCGTTTGGGCTCTTCCTTCCGACAGACCCCTTCTCCGTCTGTGTGTCTCTGCCTCTCTCTCACTTCTCTTTCCCCTATGTTCTTTTCTTACGCCTTTCTCAACCGCGTTATTTCCTTCCAGGTCGTTTCAGTCAAGTGAAGTAGGCAGCTGGTGTCATGTCTTCGGTATTTATTATGGGGGCCGCCCAGGCTGCCAGTCTGGGCTGGGCAAGCAGTGCTAGGGGATTCATTCTAACAGTCTGGAACCTTTTTTTTCTTTTTCTTTTTTTCTTTCTCTTTTTTTTTTTTTTTTTTTCTTTTTTTTTTTTTTTTCTTTTTTTCTATTTTCTGTGTAGGTCTCTTTAGTCAGCCTTATAGCTAATGCCCTGGGCTACTCGGAACTAGGTGCCATAAAGTCCCTTAGGACACTAAGAGCTTTGAGGCCTTTAAGAGCGTTGTCCCGATTTGAGGGGATGAGGGTAAGATGCCATTAGCAGCTGATCCTTCTGCATGCCTGTGGAGCGGTTTTTTTTAAGCATGCTAGAACTGATCAAAACTGGTGGAAAAGAAAATTCCAAACAGAATCATGATGCAGCTGCTGACTCGATCACCTCTACCGTGGATGTCCCCTCACCCTGCCCACCGCTGCACCCTCCCCTCTTAAGAAAGGGAGATGCATTAAGCTGCCTCATTACATTAATTACCGGCCCAAACCACATGCCATTTGTAGACGATGTTAACACTTGGCTGTTCTCATTGAGCCTGGCTTTGACCTCTAGCATCCGAGGGGGCTTCTCAGCTGTAACTCTTGATCTAGGGAGAATCACCAGGTGCAAAGAAGCAGAATTTGAACCACCTCAGTGTCTCCAGCCCCGCTAGGTGTTGGCCGCTGGTGGAATTGGATTGACAGACTTTGTCCGAGGGGTTTTTAAAAACGCAACCTGCCTGCAGGGGGGTAGAAGGCTGCTTCCTTTCTCGGATCACTCAGGCCTTCAGGAAGGGACTGGCGGGGAGCTCAGCTGTTTGAAAAAAAAGGCTTTGGTTTAATTCCTCTTGTTGCACCTTGTTGTTCTCGGTCCAGTCTGGTGGCGACTGGAAGCCTTGTCTGATAGTGAAGCTTTTCCTTTCCACTCCCTCCCTTTTACCACGCTTTATGGTCCCCTGTCCTGTCACTGTGGAACTAGCAACGAAGCACAAGCAAAGCATTGAACTTAACAAGCTTTCCTCAAATTGTTAGACAGCACCACTGTCTGGGGGATCTGAAATCATTGCAGTGTCTCACTACTTTGCCACTCATACTCTGTATTTTGGTGCATTTTTCCATTTGGGATTGAAATAGTGTGATAAGAACAGGCAAAAGAATTGTATGTTTCTGTTAAGTAAAGGATACGTTGTATTAATGGGTTTCCCAGTTGCTCTTAGAACAACAATGTAGGTCTTTTTGTGCTAAATCCCAGTTAGCTCACAACTGGAGATATTACAAGAGATAAAATTATGTATTTTTAAGAAAAAGGGAAGGGAGTAGCAGTCGCAGTTTTACTTCAGGATCTGACTGGAGCAATTCCACCTGGCTCCTTCTGATCACCTTTGAATTTGCTGTAGTGTCACTGAGCACGAAATACAGTGCGAGAGAGGCCACGAGCTGATCAGGAATCCTCAAATTCCGTAGGAAGTGATAGTAATAAATGATAGAATGAAGCCAAAGAGAGTTGTTTCTTCCCTAATATGTTATCCTTCTTTGTGTCGGTTAGTTTAATTCTAAACTTTATTCTATAATACAGGCACAAAGGATGAAAACTTTTCCATCAACACAAAGCCAGAGGTTTTGCTGGGCTGAGTTCAGGTCCCACCTGAGAGTACGAACATAAAGGAAAAAGACCTAGCACTAAACCTGTAGATGTTTAAAGCCTTTTTTAAGCCATGCTGGAGAGAAGCTGTGATTTCTAATGCACAATCAGGAAATTCTCGTGCTTGAAGTGGAGGCTTTTCACCTCAGCAAAATTGATAGAGTTATGACTGCAGCCCTGTTAGTTGCCTAACCCCAGTTACTGTTCCTTGTTCCTTGCTGCCCCATGCATACCAGAACAATTCTTCTGAGCCAGAGAACAGAGATTTGAAATGCCTTTGCAAAGGAAACATAAAATGTAGTTCTTTGCTTTTCTCTACTCCATAGTAATCTGCATTTTCAAGAGCTTGCTCTGCTCTTAAATTATTCAGGAAGTTTGACAGTAATGCTATGAAACGTGCATGCATTTTTGTCAGTCTGCACACAAAAGCCATGTTCCTTCGCTCAGGTCTTTTTGAACGCCGTGTAAATTTTAACGTACTGGAAGGGACCATGTTTCGGGAGGATCTGACACTTTTTTCTCTTCCTGTGCTGAACTGGGATAAACCAGCGTGTCGATACCTGAGGGCTCTTAAAGCCCGAAGGCTGGTGTGGGGCGCTCAGCAGCAGGGCATCCCGTTTGGATGCAGGCAGACCGGAGGCAAAGGCACTCTGTGTAGAGCCTGTCCGGAGGGCTCGCCTCTAGCCCGTGACTCCGGGCCCCGCTGGGCGTACGGTGATGGCATCATCACGTCGTTCATCAGTTGCCGTGAGGCTGCTGACTGTCAGATCGCTGTTGTCTCCCGGTTTCCTCCGTGCCTGCTGCGACGGAGGGCGGGGGCTTGCTGCGGAGCTCAGCGCGGCCGCGGTGGTCGCGTCCAGCAAACAGACGTTGCAGGAGGAGGGGGGACACCCGATGGGGGCCAGGACCGGTTGTGGCTCACGTGCTGCTACTTGAGGGCTCCCGAATCACCGTGGAATTGAGCAGCCTTCCAAAACTAAGGCAAAGGGGTAAAAAACAGTTTAGATTCGGTTCATCTATTAAAGGAATTAAATTAGGAGACCATAATAAAAGATTTAATATCCTGCTGACCTAGCTCCGTTAAAAGCCTGACAGCTTCCATTTAGTCACGTGTTGGCCAGGGATGCTTAGGGACGTGGTGCTCCCAAACTGCGAAAGGCTAAAAATTAGGAGACGGTGGAAGGTGCGAGCGCCGACAAAGCCCCTGATCGTTTCCCGCTGTGTTTGCTGCAGTTTGGAGGAAGGAACATGGCTTTTCTGTCTTCTTGAGCCTGCATAGCTGCATGCTCAGCTGTCTGCCTGAGACACCATGACTGGCCTTGCTTAGTCACAGATATGATCTTGATGTTTACAGCAACTCACTGCTTAGTCTTAAGAGAGCGATGCCGGGCTTGGTCCTGTCCCCAGCGAAGTCGGTGCCCCGCAGTTTGCTGGTGACCTCGGTGGGAGCAGGAGGCAGGCTTCGGAGTGATAACAGCCTTGTTTGAAAGTGGGGAATGGCCGTAAGGGCCACTGGCTGATAAGACCCATCCAATCCATGAGCAAAAGCGTCCTCAAACTTGGCTCTGAGAAAATTCTAGCTAGGAGCCTGTTTGTTACGAAGAAGAGAGTCTGAGCCTCACTCAGTAACGCCCCCCTCTCCCTTCTGGCAACCAAAATTATTTAAAATAATTGTTGTTGAACTGAAGAAGTAACAATCCAAAATCAAACGCGGTAAATCTAACAACCTGGCCTGTTTTATTTTAAAAACAGAGCTTCAGTGGGTGGCTTTTAAGCAGAATTTTTCACCGCTTGGAATAAGTTCACTGCCAACTTCTGCGTGGAGTAAATGCCACAGATCTGTCAGTGGCCTTACCTCCTATTCCCCCCCCAAAAACAGCTGTATTGATGCTTGCTGTTTCCTGCCTTGTGTTTTATACTGAAACTTTTTCCCACCCCTTCCAACACAGGTGGTTGTCAACGCCTTGGTTGGCGCTATCCCTTCCATTATGAATGTGTTGTTGGTCTGCCTTATCTTCTGGCTGATTTTCAGCATTATGGGGGTTAACCTGTTTGCCGGGAAATATCATTACTGCTTTAATGAAACAGCTGAGGAGCGCTTTGAAATAGAGATTGTTAACAACAAGACAGACTGTGAAGCACTGATGCCACCCAACTCCACTGAGATTCGATGGAAGAACGTGAAAATTAACTTTGACAACGTTGGGGCAGGATATCTGGCTCTTCTGCAAGTTGTAAGTTTTGCTTTCGCCATCTCCCTGGTAGTGGTAAATACAAGCTGCTTCTAATGCCTTTCGACTGCATCCCTCTCCCCATGAAGTACAGCATCCCACTAATCCCACCCGGGTGTGGGTCTGGAGTGAAATTGCCATTTTATCTTTCATCCCTTTGCCTAGTATGGGTCTCCCAGCGCAGAATCCCCTCCCTCGCCCTGCTGCCCACGCTGCTCTGGGTGCAGCCCAGGATGCTGTTGGCTTTCTGGGCTGCCAGCGCTCGTTGCCGGCTCACGTCCAGCTTCTCGCCCACCAGCACCCCCAAGCCCTCCTCGGCACGGCCGCTCTCGATCCCTTTGTCCCCCCGCCTGTGCTGATACCGGGGGTTGCCTCGACCCAAGTGCAGGACCTGGCACTAGGCCTTGTTAGGCTTGAGGCAGACCGACCCGCTCCTTGAGCTTGATTCATTTCACTTAGATGAAAGGAAAAGAGAAATATTTCAGTCATATTAAAGTTCCGTACACAGAGCGATCCAGAGTGCCAGGGAATCCCTGGCATAGCTGACCCGAATCAGACTGTTCTCTTACTTTGGGTGAGCTCTCTAAGAGACCGTGTGTTTTCTTTGCTAGGCTACTTTCAAGGGCTGGATGGACATCATGTACGCAGCAGTGGATTCCAGAAAGGTACAGTGCATGACCACAAACCTCACCCCCCCGGTACTTCACTCTGCTGTTTTGCTTTGGTAAAACCAAGAGTAAAAATTGTAGGACTGTGCTTATATTGTGTATTTAACGCTGCGATTCTTCCATTTGCTCTGTTAGTGCGATGCGTTAAAAAGATGCTCAAGAAAACCCAAAAAGGGCAGGGTTCTTCTGGTATCTCTAGGGGCAGGGAAACTCCTGCTGGAGTAGGAAGACAGTGAAGTTATATATATAAATTATGGCCAGAAGGTCCTCCGTGAACCTTGCATCACCATGGGAGCCCGAGTGTCAGTTTGACTCCAGTTTTGAAATCACGTCTGGGTTGGAGCTCTTTCTTCAGGCACTTTTCTTGTTCTTGCGTGCTGGAATCGTGCAAATACCATTACTTCCATTTTGCTTTCTGATTTTTTTTTTTTCCCCCTTCTCTTCTCTTGGTTTTATATGAAAAGATTTTTAAATGGGTTTTCTTGTCCTACACTGAATGCAGGGTTGGTAACACGTAGTATGACTATGTCAGGGCAGGGTGAAGAATGTTCTCTTTTTGGATCAGCTGGTGGTCTGGCACGTCCCTCTTCAAAAGAAAGAACGACGTCTTCACTTTGACAGTGCTTGTTGTTAAAAATGATCATTTCCTTTGTGATTTGCAAATTACTATGTAATTTATGGGCACTAACCTCATTTACAGTGAAAGGCAGTTTAAACTGAAAATTTCTGACAATTAGCTCACCATCCTCCTGGTGTGTACCTACAACACACATGCGGATACTTCCGCTTTACTTTGAAGTGTGAGGGCCCGGGTTTCCGTCTGTGACTCCGGCTTTGTAAAGCAAGACTGCCTTACGTGGGACTGCCTGGAAACATGACCGATCTCATTTTGACTGTAGTCGTGTGATGTCTTTGAAGTGTCATTTATTTCTCTTCTTGTCTCCCATTCAGCAAGAAGAGCAACCCAAGTACGAGGACAACATTTACATGTACATCTATTTTGTTATCTTCATTATCTTTGGCTCCTTTTTCACCCTGAACTTGTTCATTGGTGTCATCATTGACAACTTCAATCAACAAAAGAAAAAGATAAGTGATCTGTGTTTGCTGAGACCTGTTGGAGGAATGTGGAGTCTTCAGGCTGATGGGCTTTTCTGTGAAATAAAGGCCAAGGACCTTCCGTCTGGGCACGAGCCTCCCCTCTTCGAGCGGTGGGCTGCAGAACCACTGTGGCTCGTAGTGCAGCACTCCCTGCCCAGCCCCACTGAGACGGGCTGAACAGGCTCAGGGAGTACCAGGGGCAGCCCAAAGCTTGACCTAAAACTCCAGCCAGGTTAGACATTTTCCCCAGACTACCTTTTCATGCATTTCTGGGTTTTTTCGCCTAAAATATGCGGACTTTAAGTAAGGCGTCTTCCTTGCCTCTCCCTCCATCTCTCTCTCATACGCTGCTTTTTTTCTCGGTAAGTCAGTCAAGCGGAGCATTTGCCTGTGTGCAGGTCCTGCCAAATGGCCCGACACCTCTGCTGCCTGTTTGTCACAAATGAGATGGAGGGGATGGGAAGGGTGTAGTGCAATAAAACAGGGTTATTCCTAGGAAAAATACTCCATTTTCTTTAAATTAAAGTCAGTACACCTTGGGTATTAGTAGAAGTTATTTCTGTCTAAAATAGCTGCCACCAACTTCCCATATGGCAGGTATCCTCATGACTTGGCTGGGCTGTTAATCCTTTCCCTTCTGGTGTACGAGCGGATTGTAACCAGTTTTCCTTTTGCCCCTTTACTTTGGAGGTCAAGATATTTTCATGACAGAAGAACAAAAGAAGTACTATAATGCCATGAAAAAGCTGGGCTCAAAGAAGCCTCAGAAACCTATTCCCAGACCTCTGGTGAGTACGTTATAAAGGGAACTGAAGTTAAAAACCTGCGGAGTAGACTTTCAAAGGCGCTTTGGCTCCAAAAGCGTCCTTTGTTCTAACTCATGCTGGACTCCTCATCGCCATGTTCTTGTCATTATAATTCAGATATCATCTGAGAGAGGTTAAAATGCTACAGCTGGGGTCGATGTTAAGCAGTTGGCTCGCTTGAATCAACCGAACAGTCTGAAAACCCCGCCTGGCTGAGGGGCTCTAGATGGAGAGTAAGAGGCCTCCCCTCCCGGCATTAGCGAGCGGGATCTGGGACAATTAGGCAGCCTCGCGGGGTGCATCGATTGAGACCTAAGCACGTGTCCCTGCTTTCTGAAAGGCTTTGCCTGTGATATTGGGTGAATCCCTCAGATACTGCTGCGGATAAGGCATCCTGCTGCCGGCATGAGGCTGCTGCCAGGGCGCAGAAGAGGTGGTGGCCTCTAGTCCAAGTACCCTGCAGGCAGGCACCGCTGCAAGGCAGAGCTGGCTGCTTTGTCCAGTTGTGCATCACCCTGCCTTTGGTCCCAGGATGGTAATAGGGTCG